AAATTTTGTTCATCAATTGGCTAAATGAGAAAATTTCTTCATCTCATTATTAAATGAGAAAATTTATTTATCACTTGGCAAAATGAGAAATTTTGTTTGTCACTTGGCAAATTAGAAATTTTATTCATCACTTGGCAAAATGAGAAATTGTGTTCATCACTTGGCAAAATGAGAAATTGTGTTCATCACTTTGCAAAATGAGAAATATTGTTCATCTCTTTGCTAAATGAGAAATTTGGTTTGTCACTTGGCAAATTAGAAATTTCATTCATCACTTGGCAAAATGAGAAATTTTGTTCATCACTTGGCGAAATGAGAAATTTTGTTCATCACTTGGCAAAATGAGAAATTTTGTTCATCACTTAGAAAAAGAAAAATTTTGTTCACCACTTGGCAAAATGAGAAATTTTGTTTGTCACTTGGCAAAATGAGAAATTTTGTTTGTCACTTCGCAAATTAGAAATTTTGTTCATCACTTGGCAAAATGAGAAATTTTGTTCATCACTTTGCAAAATGAGAAATTTTCTTCATCTCTTTGCAAAATGAGAAATTTGTTCATCACTTGGCAAAATGAGAAATTTTGTTTGTCACTTGGCAAATTAGAAATTTCATTCATCACTTGGCAAACTGAGAAATTTTTTTCATCACTTGGCAAAATGAGAAATTTTGTTCATCACTTGGAAAATGAGAAATTTTTTTCATCACTTGGCAAAATAAGAAATTTTGTTTGTCAATTGGCAAATGAGAAATTTTGTTCATCACTTGGCAAAATGAGAAATTTTATTTGTCACTTGGCTAATGAGAAATTTTGTTCAACTCTTGGCAAAATGAGAAATTTTGTTCATCACTTGGCAAATGAGAAATTTTGTTCATCACTTGACAAAATGAGAAATTTTGTTTGTCACTTCGCAAATTAGAAATTTCATTCATCACTTGGCAAAATGAGAAATTTTATTTGTCACTTGGAAAATGAGAAATTTTGTTCATCACTTGGCAAATGAGAAATTTTATTCATCAATTGACAAAATGAGAAATTTTTTTTGTCACTTGGCAAATCAGAAATTTTGTTCATCACTTGGCAAAATGAGAAATTTTATTTGTCACTTGGCAAATGAGAAATTTTGTTCAACTCTTGGCAAAATGAGAAATTTTGTTCATCACTTGGCAAATGAGAAATTTTGTTCATCACTTGGCAAAATGAGAAATTTTATTTGTCACTTGGCAAATGAGAAATTTTTTTCATCACTTGGCAAAATGAAAAATTTTGTTTGTCACTTGGCAAATTAGAAATTTCATTCATCACTTGGCAAAATGAGAAATTTTGTTCATCACTTGGCAAAATGAGAAATTT